CAGTCTATATATCTCTTTCTCTATAGTATATGCCTCTCTCTCTCTCTCTCTCTCCCTATCTCTCTCTCTCTCTCTATATCTCTCTCTCTCTCTCTCCCTCCCCCTCTCTCTCTCTCTCTATCAGTCTATATATCTCTTTCTCTATAGTATATGCCTCTCTCTCTCTCTCTCTCTCCCTATCTCTCTCTCTCTCTCTCTCTCTCCCTCCCCCTCTCTCTCTCTATCAGTCTATATATCTCTTTCTCTCTATAGTATATGCCTCTCTCTCTCTCTCTCTCTCTCTCTCCCTCCCCTCTCTCTCTCTCTCTATCAGTCTATATATCTCTTTCTCTCTATAGTATATGCCTCTCTCTCTCTCTCTCTCTCCCTCAATCCATCTATTTATTACTGTCTCTATGTCTGTTATTCCAACCTCTATAGGCTATTTCTTCCTCGATCTGTTTATTTGTGATTCAAAATATTTCCCCCTTTTTCTTTTTCCTCACATAATTATGAAACCTTGTTATTTTCATCAAACTGAAATCCAGGCACGTTCGAGCCTAATGATGTATGAAAAACAAATCGCAGACTGTCGAAAATTCCATTCGAAGGCAATTTCTATTAAATCTATATCCATAGAAATCATGTTCGTTTTATTTGCCTGTATTTCCTCGAAAAAAGATCATACGGGCACATAATTGAGTTGTTTTGATCTGATCACGATTTACATACAAACGAACACAGAACTCGGATCACAAGATTCGAACATCTATTTGACCAAGGAGGCATTACGTGACCGCTGCTCGAAGAAAAACCCTTACGAATCTGACGAGGCAATGTAAACAATAACAGTGCAGCAGAGAGCGGTGACCGTGCCCCCGACACACCCCCTAAACACCCTCTTACGCTCGCCAAGCATTTTCCTAGATAGTCTGTGAATCGAGACCCTAGTGAAATTGGACGGTGTTGAAGTCAGTGATTGCGACTTTCGTTTAATAGGCTTGACAATATTTCAGTGATCATAATTAGATACTGTAAGTACTTGAAAGACCTCTAAAAAGTTAAGAAATCATATCTGCCCCCATACCGACCGGTCCTGGGGCCTATAGCTATATCCATACCAGCAGAAATTGTTCAGTTTTCGTAATCAACACGGAGACCTTTTTGTATTCCTAACCAAACATTATTTTTTAATAACAATATTTGTTTCAAGAACAATAATAATATTTGATTCTTTCTCTAGCCTTCCTTTGCAAGGTCTACGCTCACATACTTCAATGTTCAGTGCACGTTATTAAAATGCAAACATCGTCGTTGCAGCTCCAGCTTGCAGAGGGCGCGGGCTGGAACGTGACTTCTAAAACTAGTAGCCGCACGTGACCGTGAACGTGACCCAATAGCAAGTAGTCTCAGTGTTCCAGACAGAGATATTGTTCTAACGATCCCGCAGTACTTTGAAGAGAATGTGAGTAGGCCTACATGTAAAGATAGAAAAGAGTTTTATCATTTTCTTGTTGTCACTTTGGAAGAAGGGCCTATCATAGGAGAAATGAGCTCTGAAAAGGGCTCGGTTTATACCAAACATCAGTTATTTTTTCTCGCTTATCACTCGATTAAAGTTGAATCGGTGATCTAGATTATGATTGTGTCTCCGCGATATGAACACAATGCGTTAGTCAAACACACACCCCCTCCGAGCCCCTTCAGTTCTGTCAAAGTTCTGTTTTTTTTATGCTGTTATCTGTAGTGTTTGTGTCATTTTGCGTGTTTTAAGTAGCACTGTGACCCCGAGGAAGAATCGGTAAACTTTTTTGGTTGATCTGCAGCGGGTGTTCCCTCGATCTTCACAGTTTCATTTTTTTAAATAGAAAAGTCCATGTAAAATATTTTCGTGTTTTTTATATTTATGTGTTATGATGTTTGTATGTCCATCCCCCCCCCCCCCCATTTCAATTGGGGGATTGACGAAGAGAGAGAGAGAGAGAGAGAGAGAGAGAGAGAAAAAAAAGAGAGAAAGAAAGGGAAAGTAATACAAAGAGAGAGAGAAAAATGAAAGAGAAAGAAAGAGAGATAGGGAGAGCAGGGGGGGGGGGGGGGGGGGGGTAATACAATTAGTATAAAATCATTTAGTCACTTTTTAGGAGTTTGTAACAAAAGATTCTGACAAGTAGTTTGATGACCCGAAGATATCAATGAGCAATGACAGAATTTGTTTTGTTTTTCTGTCGGCACTGGTCAAACAGCCTACAAATATATTTATCAAACGATAGGCCTATTACAGCAAATAAATGATGCTATATAATTATGAAATCCCATACATCGCATATTGACTTTCAGGATAACAATATTTGTCAATTAGTTTATTTTTGGTACTTTTGTTGGACTCATGTCAACATAATAATCACGCGCGGCTCTTGGAGACTGTCAAAAATTGATAATATAATAGGTCATATACGATTTGATATCAAAAGTAAACTCACTTTGAGTAGCATGTGTGTTTACTTTTTGTCAGCAGTTTTCTTATAGCTCTGTTATAGCTGAATTGATTAAAGTCTAGACACAATGCAACGATTAAATTGCAATTAAGAAGGATTTGTGTTATTTCTTAAGTAAATTTCAAATTATGTACCATGTGCAGAAGTTCACTTATAATGTTGGATCTTGTCCAGAATTATGGCTTATTGAAAACTGATAACAAATTCGTCTTGACATTGTATGTTTTAAAACAAACTCGTACTCTATGTCTCTCTTTTTTTTTTCTTTCTCTCTCTCTCTCTCTCCCTCTCTTTTTTTCTCCCCCCATCACCTTCTCTCTCTCTTTCTCTCCTACTCCCTCTATCTTTCTCTCTCTTACCCCCCCCCCACCCCTCCTTCCCTTTCTCTCTCTCTTTCTCTTTCTCTTTCTCTCTCTTCCCCCCTCTCTCTCTCTCTCTATCTCACTCCTTCCTTCCATCTCTCTCTATATTCCATTCTATAACTCCATCACTTCCTCTCTCCATCTCTCTCTCTCTCTCTCTTACCCCCTCTCTCTCTCTCTCTCTCTCCCCTATTCCCTTCTCACCCGCCCCTCTCTTCTATCCGCTCTCTCTACATCTACCCAGGGTCTCACCTCAGTCCCTGATCTATCCATCTCCCTTTCTCTCTCTCTCTCTCTCTCTCTCTCTCTCTCTCTCTCTCTCTCTCTCTCTCTCTCTCTCACCCCCCTCCCCTTCTCACCCCTCTCTCCTATCCGCTCTCTCTACATCAAGAGATGTCCTGCTACATCTATCCAGGGTCTTACCTCAGTCCCTGATCTATCCCTCTCTCTCTCTCTCTCTCTCTCTCTCTCTCTCTCTCTCTTTCTCTCACGTTCTCTCTCTCCCTCTCTCCTGATTCCCTTCTCACACCCTCTCTCCTATCCGCTCTCTCTACATCCAGGGAGGTCCTGCTTCATCTACCCAGTGTCTCACCTCAGTCCCTGATCTATCCATCTCCCTTTCTCTTCCACCTTTCTCCTTCTTTCCTTATTTTTCTCCCTCTTCTTTCTCGTTATTGATATACCACCTCACCATTTTACCTTATATTTACTTTTAAGTTTTAATTGTATAATCTTTTTGTTTTATTGGGGGTAGTCCACGACAAATCATTTTTTATTTTTGACTACCCCTTCCACATTTGCTATTTTTTTTCTTATTAAAACATACATTGCTCCAACTGGAGTCGTTTTTATATAAAATGTACATGTTCTATTATTGTATTATATGTATGTATTTTATTTCATGTATATCCCTGTTTTGCATTTGTGGAGAAATAAATTGAACTTGAACTTGAAATTTCTTCCCATCTCTCTCCGCAGGTCATAAATTCTCTCAGGCCTCTCCAACAAAAGAAAAAAAAGTACTGAGAGTGAAGGCAGAAACATAGAAAGAGGGGGGGGGGGGGGGGGTCGGGTGTCCATGATTCGAGAGGAAGAAGAATGAAAACGGTGAAACTAAACAAGAAACACACTGAAGTTTATAGCCCGCATATTTTGACCCATTCTTTTGCTCACTTTCTCTGTCCAATTTCAATTTGCATCTCCACTTAAACACCTTGCTATCAAAACATCCTCACCAATGATCCCAGTCCCCGCCCCAACTCTTTATGAGAACGTCCCCCCCCCCCCCCTTTAATCAAGGTTCCCCTCCGATGTAAATTATTTATAAAAAAATATATATATACATATATAATGTATATAATAGTAACAATGATAAATACAATAATAATATTTTTTCCAACTCCAAGCCATAAACTGTAAAGTTCGAGGGGCTACCTAAAGTTGGATTACGTGTGTGTACTGTATTGTCATTGGCTTTGTCATTGCTTTGTAGGTGACGGAAAACTCTGTATTTAGGACAAACTCTTTATTAAAAAAACTAATCGCTCAGAGCGAAATATGTCAATTAGATTTAAAATTCGAATTTGCCACTTTCTTGGTCACAAATTTTATTTCGTATTACCCTTTCCGAACCCCAAACGCACTTCACCCACTTTCTCATCTTTTACTCTTCTTCAATAACACCTTCGGTCAGCCAATATCTTTTCCAAATTCATACTCCAATTCGCTCCAATCGCGCTTCTATTCTTCCATAACCAGCTACCCTCGATCAGCATTTCCATTCCCTTCATATTTTTTTATCAAGCATAATTTATCCAATCCCACCACGATCTCCATTACCTTATGTCTCAAGTTCTTTCTCAATCCTCTTCTTTCTCTTAAAAATTTAATTTTCGTGAAAATTCTAAGCCCTAAAACCACGTTTCTCTTCCAGTCTCTCCGAGTCTCTCTCTCTCTCTCTCTCTCTCTCTCTCTCCCTCTCCTGTTGCTTCTAAGCGCATTAATCCTTCCTATCACTCAATTCTATGATATCACAAACTTCTCAATTTCCAACTCCCTAAAATCAAGATTTAATTCGTCACATTCTTCTAAAAACGAACACACACACACACACAAGCAAACAAATATTGTTGAAACATTTGTATAAACAACTTATGAATCATTATTTTATGAATTATCTTTTATGTATTTTTTCTTCACTTTTCTTCTTTTCTTAAATAACAGATAAGTAATAATATTCACATAGTACATTGTCGAGAAAAAAAACGACCTCAATTTGCCTTCTGATCGAATCTCTGTACAAATGACAGAAGGCATTGATGTAACATTTTTACATTTATAAATTATACACATATATCGTTGTTTGATAATTCTTACTTGGCATTCATACTAATATAGTATGTGGGGGGGGGGGGTTGAACATAAAACCTAAAGAAAACAAATTTAAAGCACACATGTAATCAAACATTTCCAAAGTGAAGAGAAAGAATAAACGACATATTATTCTTGGTCACACAAACACGTATACCAAGAGTTGTCCTTATGTTGTACATTATGAATAAATAAATTATTACAGGAGCATTCATATAAAAAATACAAAAATAATATCCCCCATTTCCTGTTCAACAAATCATAATGATTTTTTGTCTCTACTTTGTTGAACACCTTACAAATAGAAATGATATACCAAGTTATGTTTTTTACAATATGCTCCACCAGTGCTAACCTGAATGCGATTAAAATAATGAATGCACTGAGCAAAACTTTATAAATACTTCTTGTCGACTCACATGTAATCGACCATTTTCACACACTGAAAACGGGATTTAAAACTACATTAAGAAGAGAACATGTATATACATAATAAAGTAGACTGTACCTTTAAAACAAGGCCAGTAAAACTAATTTGTATAAGAGAATAATAAAACATTTATTTTTTCAGTTCTTCTCTTGGAATGTTTACATCTTAATATAACAAAATCCTATGAACTGTGGCTTACACAAGAGAAACATAAAATAAAGAAAGACGAAAATAGACTCAATTCAAAGTTCTTTTCATCCAGAGTTAAGATTATTTGATGAATACTTTCATAAATGTTGCTTTCATCAATTGTAAGATGAATGGAACAGAAAAGACAAAATATAATGCTAAGTATTTTATAGCAAACACCGCATCATAGTGTTCTGAGTCCGGTATTCACTAGAAGCACTTCGTATCGAGTGCTTCTCAAACATTGCACGTTTAAAAGAAATATTACTGAGCTGATTGATACTTTGAATCCTATCCATTTTCAGATTTCTTTGTAAATCTTTAAAAACTCTTTTAACATCACAACTACCGCTTATTAGTTCGCTTGTAGTTATATAGGCACTTGTAGAAGCTTTAAAACATACATCAAGTCATATTTAAGATGGCAAATATAATGATGATCCACCTTTAGCCAGCAGAATACATGCACGTCGTCTCTATAATTGCTGAGCATAAGTAAATCGTCGCATCTGCTCTTGCTTGTATCAACTTATATACAGTCATAGGACTTATTTCAGTGTCCTGATACTGTTTACTCCATGATGAATTGTCTTATCAATTCTGGAAGTCACATTTCAGATACTGTTAGCAATGCTGGATCTCTGTCCATTCCAGCTTTTATTTTTGGAGTGCCAGATCACACTCCGACGTTGCTTCTTTGAATAATTCCACCATGAGTTGTGGTTGCTTCTTTCTTTCTTTGGTTGGCAGCTAAATTTACTCCATTCTTTCCGTCTTTTGTCCAATTAAAACATGTTTTTTTTGTTCAATTCCTTCAGAGTCTGGCTCTGGTATTCTTTACGCCTGCTGGTCTTGCTGGTAGATAGGCTCTGCATCTGAGTCGGAGCAGTAGGTCTCCACCGGCGGGCAGCTGCATTTGAGGTTCTGATCTCCGAAGACATCATCCACCCTGCCGACAGACGGCCAGAACTTGGTGTCTGGTCGGACGAACGACTGTTCGGACAAAGAAGGCAAAATGAAAGAGCAAGTTAGTTCAAGAAACTTACTTTATAGAAGTATTATAACTTGATTTGCTTTACTGATGATATCAAGAAATGTTTCTGATTCTCTTGGTTATCATATTGCGTTGGCTCATAATAATAGAATGCACTTTTGGCTGAATTGGTTCTATATCATTTAAATGCTGGCATACAGAGTGGCACACAATTATCATCAAGTACATGCATTTCACTTTCCACTGATACTCGCCCTGTTCCATCAAGGAAAAAACAAGATTGCTTTAATTGTACATCAGATTAAATTAACTAGCTGTAACGTATCGACAAACTAATTTCAGAAAATTCTTTGTCATGATGATATGCAAGTGGTGTTTCCATCTTCTCTGGAAACTCTGGAAGAACAAGATTTAGACTGGAACTCACCAGAGGGTAGACAGCCTGTTCCCTGGTGTAAGCTCTGTCCCAGTCTGCAGACATGACTGTGGCAGCTGTGTGTGGGGCATTCTTGATTGCGCTGTCCTTGGCTGCGATGCGGCCATCTTGGATATCCTGGATTTCAGAGCGGATATCTGTTTGGGAAGAGGGTGAGAGAAGAGGAGAGTAAAGATTTAGAATCACATTGTCAACATGATCAACAGAGATTTGGTTCCATTATGAATTGAAAAAAATAGTTGCTCAGAAGCTGAAATAGGTTGTCAAAAGATATTCCCTCCAAAAAATGGCACTTACACGGCCTAGTGTACCCAAAGAAATTGATAGTTTAGATAAGCAAGGAAGAAATTGATCATATTTTTTATGTTGCCACTGTAAGATGAAGATACTACATGAGTGTTTATGCAAGCATGGTTCCCTCTAGAATTAAGTCTTTAGCAAAGCTTCAAATACTTACGCAAGAGTGCGTCGCAGTATCTATCCATCTCGGCCTTGTCCTCGCTCTCCGTTGGCTCAACCATCAACGTGTTTGTGACTGGCCATGAAACCGTGGGAGCGTGGAAGCCAAAGTCCTGGAGACGCTTGGCGATGTCAATAGCCTCGATGCCGTCCTTCTTGAACTCGCGGGTGTCGAGGATGAACTCGTGAGCGACGAATCCATTGGTGCCTTTGTAGAGGATGCTGTAGTTATTCTCCAGCCTCTTCATCATGTAGTTGGCGTTGAGGATGGCCAGTTCGGAGGCCTTCCTCAATCCCCTGGCTCCCATCATCTTGATGTAAGCATAGGAGATGGGAAGGATGGATGAGGAGCCCCAAGGGGCGGCGCTGACAGAGCCAAAGGCTTGGTTGGAGCCGGGGACGGGGATCACGTCATGGGTTGGCAAGAATGGAGCAAGGTGTGACTTACTGCATGAGAAAACAAACATGAAAACAGACAAAAGCAGTTAATATACTGATGGTTACTCATCTATTTCACAAATAGTTTACCATAGATATGTCTATAGAATTAACAAAGTTTACAAGTCATTTCTTCTTATCCCCACAACTGGAATCCAAGTGTATACATACAATCCAGAAACGATATCTTATCTTAACAGATGAACTAATTTCAGATTGAAATTGAAAAGGATTCTGATGAAGTGGATAAGGTCTTGTGGGACAGAATCGGAAAGAACAGGGGCCTGTTCCACAAAGCCTTTTTGTAATGACAAATTACAAAAATCAGTGACAAATCTGCTGATAACCAATCAGAAGCAAGGATTTCAGTAGCTTATAACAAAAAATGTCATTTGTCACTGATGACAAGTTTTGTGAAATGCCCCCCAGGACAAAATACTCACACTCCAATGGGTCCCATGCCTGGTCCTCCGCCTCCGTGAGGGATGCAGAAGGTCTTGTGAAGGTTGAGATGCGAAACGTCGGAGCCGTAGTCTCCTGGACGGCAGAGTCCCACCTGGGCGTTCATGTTAGCACCGTCCAGGTAGACCTGGCCGCCAAAGTGATGGACCATGTCGCAGAGTTCCTTGATGCCTTCATCGAAGATGCCATTGGTTGATGGGTACGTTACCATGATGGCACCAAGCCTGTCCTTGTACTTGTTCACCTTCTTCTCCAGGTCGGCGAAGTCGATGCTTCCAGAGTTGGTGACCTTGACGGCTTTGACGCTCATGCCGGCCATCTGGGCACTGGCAGGGTTGGTTCCATGGGCGGAAGTGGGGATGAGACAAACCTAAGGAAAGGGAATATTGAAATAACAAACATTAATACACAGCTTCATGAACAAATTCATACTGTGTTAAATAGAAATTCCTGATTACATATCATCTACTGAAATATCTGGTTACTGCTGTTCAGAAAAAAAAGTAATCATTTAAAGGCCGGCTGTACTAGTTCGGCCAGAAGGGATTAGACCATCCAGCGAGGTCACTAACAGGTGGCTATCTCATCAACTCAACAAAGAGGATCATGGGGGACCAACAAGCACCAATTGGGGAAGTTTTTCTATATAGAGCAAGTAGCTACAAGTAGTACAGTGGGGCTTTAAGAGTAACTTCTACTTACATTCCTGTGGCCCTGGTCGATGCTCTGCTGGTAGGCTCGGATCGACATCAGGCCAGCAAACTCGCCCTGAGCGCCACTGTTTGGCTGGAAAGAGAACTTGTCATACCCGGTGATCTCGCACAGGTCCTTCTCTAGTTCGTTGAAGAGTTCCGTGTAGCCCTGTGCTTGCTCCACTGGAGCAAAGGGGTGTAGGCTGTTGAACTCTGGCCATGAGATAGGCTGCAGGACAAGAAAGTACAGGGTACAATTAGTTCATGTCTCAAAGTGAAATCAAAATGGATCATATCTATACCAGTAATCAATTTTGTTATGTATACTTTATTGTTCAATTATGAAAAATAACCTACTTCAAGAATGAATCATATTGGGGACTGGTCATGCCAGCAGGCCCCATAGGCAAGTCCTAAATAGTCTGTTCATTATAGCCGGATATCACAAAGCGACTTCCCAAAGCATTTTAATTCAATTTCAATTTATTCATGTTTCCAACAAAACAGTACAAATCAATCATAAGCATTAAAAAAAAAAGCATTGCAGTAGCTAAGCCAAATGATCAGTATACCATTACTGAAGAATGGAAATTAGGAGGGCTTCATCTGATAACTTACTGCAAGTTCTGACGTGCTGTTGAGTTTCATGGTACAGGAGCCCAGAGGGATCATGGAATGGACAAGGGACAGGTCCTTGTTCTCAAGCATCTTCATGTAGCGCACAATGGCAGTCTCTGCATGGTAGCTGTAAAGAAGCAAACAGAAAAACAAATTAGCATATTGAAAATCCAAATGATATCAAGGGACAATAAATCACACATACATCAAAGAGTCTGTTTCCTCTGACTGATCACTACATAATATATCTGAGCATGAAATGCATTCTGTTTAATTCTCATTTCAGAAATTAGGGCTTGAAGAATATCTACAGATTCTCATTGGATTCAAATTGGAAATATTTGCTAGGATATAACAGAAGAGACATCTCCTGCAAATGGATAGTTTTTCTGGAAGACTTCATTATAGCTTGGACATCCCCCCCCCCCCCCCCTTGAAGTTAGACCTGGAAGCTTGGCATCTGGAGACGGCTTTCTTCCAGAAGCTTTGGTATTCAAGGTTTTCTGGAAGACTTCATTTTACTACTGACCTGTTGAAGACCTCATGGGAGAGGATCTCGGACCTCCTGGCAAGCTGGCCATCTATGACACCGGTCGAAGGGGGTGACTGAGCGATCTCCTGGGCAATCTCCGCGGCCGTTTGTTTGCTGCCCATCACCCATAGGAGGTCGTTGAGGTCCTTCTCCTCTACGGTCTCATCGAGGGCGATACCGACCTACAGATGGAAGAACAAAGGGGGTGGTTCAATAAATGAATGGTGCTTTAAATGAATTACAACAGGTTGTCAGAATTCATAGCCAATTTGGTATACACAGGTGCTTTTAAATCTCTAACAGGGATCAACAGAAGCTCCCTGTCACAAGTGTCTTGTGATGTACATGAGAATGACGTATTTTCATGCCAACATAGTTTTGACGAATCGTGCAACATGGAACGTAGTTCAACGTTTTTTGTATTAGTGTCGGTCATTTAAACCCAGACTTCCAGGTAGCCCTCACGAATACATAATGTACTTACACATCCATCGTCATGGTGTCTAAAGTTGATCTCCATCTCCTCAGCTCTCTGCAAGATGTCAGCCCTGTGGCCATTGCACTGGACCTTGATTGTATCAAAGAACTGATCCTTGTTTTGCAGCTCCAGTCCACTGTTCTTAATTCCTGCACAGAAAGAAACCATAATGAAACATTTGTAAATGCCCTTGTCCTTCCAAAACAAAATAAAAGGGGCAGTTGAAGGAGAATACATCTAACTCAAGATCTTTGCACAGCATATTGTTGAAGATGCTTGATGTAGAGGGTTTTTGAAATTTTGATCAATCTCGTTGATTAAGACAGAGAGGCTTTTTGGAAAGCTTTTCAGATTTTAATGAATCGTGATGGTCTTGATTCTTAACCCGTTGCCTTTAGGATTTGGATTGTCTCCGCATTACGCCTAAGGGAATGAGAGAATTTAGAAGCCAAGGGGTTAAGATCTAGAGAAGGTACATACCCTGAGCAAGAATGACCGTAGCCATATGGATCCTCCTGGCGATGTGGTGCAGTCCCTTAGGCCCATGATAGACGGCATACATGGCTGACAGGTTAGCGAGGAGAGCCTGAGATGTGCAGATGTTGCTTGTTGCCTTCTCCCTCCTGATGTGCTGTTCCCTGGTCTGGAGTGAAAGCCTGAGGGCAGGATTTCCCGCAGAGTCCCTGTTTTAAGAAAAAGCGAGATCAGTTCGAGAGTTAAATCACTGATTTTATTTTGAGGACTGCTACCAATTTTCTCCCAACAGTTGGTGCTCTGAAAGTTAAAAAATTCCAATCCAGTTGCATAACCAACGTCTAGATCTTGTGTAGCTCTCTTTCAATTCTAAATCTTTATTCCCTTTATCCTCAAAACGGAAGAACTGAAATTTTTCACTCACTTTGTGACACCAACAATGCGTCCAGGCATCTGGCGTTTGAGGTAGTCTCGTACAGCAAAGAAGGCGGCGTGTGGTCCACCATAGCCTGGGGCAGTACCAAAGCGCTGGCTGCTTCCTAGAGCGATGTCAACACCAAACTCACCAGGTGGTGTGAGAAGGACAAGAGCCATCAGGTCGGTGGCACAAGCTGTTATGGTCTGAAAGACAAGGACGAGGAAATGTTAAGAGACTGTTCTAAGATCCTTACTGCTATCCGTAAACTGATGTAATGAGTTCATGTCTGATTTAACTATAAATTTGAAGAAAAAAACTAATTATTTCCAATATCGAGATTAAAAGTATATTTACCTTGTGTTTCTTAGCATTCTGGACCAGCTTGGTGAAATCGTCGACACTCCCATCGGTGTTTGGATATTGGAAGAGCACCCCAGCAATATCATCTCCACTGAAGTCCATCTCGCTGTGGGGCATAACCCTGACTTCAACATCGATTGGACTACAGATAAAGAAAGAAGAAAAGAAAGGACAGTTCATAAGTGACATGTTGACCGGTGGGTTTTGATTTGTTGTATTAGTACACCCTGTGAAGAAACACAAATGGAGTAAGAATGTTAATCGGGGGATCACTCAACATTCACTCAGACACTTAACCATGTTAGTGGCTACAACTTACGCTGTATCCCTTCAATTACCTTCATGACGCAAGATTGTATGGCTTATAACAAACACTCGATTGGACTGGTACCATGGGTCGCGGACACCTCTTTGTCTTTCCTCTAAACCCTTCTCACTCTTCCTTTCCAGACTTCAGACTGAGTTGGTTAGCCTCCGTCATACAGTTGGTGATCGTTTGGGTGATCGTCTACATGGTTCTTCCAGTTCTTTGTTCGTAATTGTTCGTCAGCAGTTCAATTCACACCACTCAATCAAGAGTAAGTTCAGTTCAACATTGTTCTCTCTCGTGGACGATTTGGGGTGTTTCGGGGTGCTACACATAGAGCTCTATTAATCTCTATGTGACCAAATGAATGGATTAATCGGCGACATCGGACCCTGCGGTTCGATCTCCATCGATGCAGCTCACCGTAGGATACATCAGCAACTCATGTTTGGTGAAAACTGTAAGAGATGCATTGGATACATCATGCAGAAAAAATTAGAGAGAAGAAAAAGACAAATTAGTATCCTGATTGGTGGAATATAAAGAAAACACGTGTATGGAATGTTTGAAACCACAGACAATAATATCAAACTCATGAGCACTCGTGAACACCAAAAGATTGCATAGAGAAGGATTACATAGAGAAAGCGTTCAGGAAATGAAGATTAATGCGGGTAACACTGCGAAAAAAACACAATAAATTGCCATTGAATCGAGTCGGGTTGTCATGCACTATTCACTAGGTGTGCCCTGCCAGAAATAAAATAATTCAAATAAAAGAATATATCTCATTAGTTCCTTCACCATCTCCGTGATAAAACAAATAATGGGGTGGTACAGAAAATAAACATGGTGAATATGACGAGTAGTATTTCAGAATTCAGAGGGAAGGAAACAATTTTACATTTATGAACAGTCATACCCAAACTCTTGGAAATACCAGTAAAGACGATGACTTTAATCTGAATTTAAAGTTAAAAAATATAGCTTTTAAAGTTCATTCTGTATACAGTTAGACCAAACAAAGTAGTTGTTTTTGTATAAACACAGCAGCAACAGCAACAACAAATGGTGCAAAAAATATATATCAAAAAGAGATGAAAACAGATATATTTGAACTTACTCGGCACGAGTCTTTACAAGAGCAATGGTGTGAGGATGACACTTTTCATCAACATAGAATATTGATCTCTTGGTGTGCCTGAAAAATAGAAACATGAAAGAAAGGTTATTTTTCAAAGTATTCAATAATGTCTTTCAATAAATAATAAATACATTGAAAAACTGTTCCTGTATAGACATGATGATATAAGAGGGATTTGGATATTAATAAAATATTAAAAGTTTCTATCAAATTATTATTCTTTAAACAGTGATTGGCAAATCATTATCACTATAGTGTTCTAATTAAATGAATGCTTTTCTTAAAGATAAATGATGCCAGTAAAGACAACAAACTGCCAAACTCAATATTTTTTTGTACCTTTTTGCTAGGCCCATAGCCTCTGCAGCTGCGGTGCCTTCGTCCAGAAGGGATGCGTTTGCAATGTCCAGACCGGTCATGTCGGCGCACATGGTCTGATAGTTGAGGAGACCAGTCAGACGGCCTTGTGACAGCTCTGCCTGGTATGGTGTGTACTGGGTAATCCTGCAACAATCAAGAGAGAACAATAGATGAGCTTCACAATATGTCATATCCAAGTAAAGATATACTATCATTGGACATTGCATGAGAGGAAGAACTATTTTGTTTTCATTCTTGCAGATGATATCAACTATCAAGTAAATGTAGTGAATTACGTGGTATCAAATTCATGCTTTCAAGGAAAAATACAACTTGGAATTTGACATACTGGTGCATGTATGTGAGAGTGTCAGACTGTCAATTCGCTGCTACAAAAAAACTACCAAAAAAGCCATAGCTCAAAGAAATAGTTGTCACAATGTCTTGATTATTATTTGTATTAGAAGTCTTTTTTTTTTTGGGGGGGGGGGGGTGTGAAATAGGGGGTTTCTTACCATCCAGGGTTCTCTAGCATGTTCCTGACGATGGTCAATGGAATGTGGCAGCTGTGGTAGCCCAGACCAATGTAACTGCGGTACATCTTGTTCTTGCATGCCACCTCCTTGAGTTTCTCCAACATCTCTGTCTCGCCTGGAACAAGAGATCAAAAGTAATTGTTATTTTCATGAAATCAAGTCTCATCCCATTTTTTAACATCAAGTTCTTTGTTTTCATATTTTCTATTCACTACCGGTTTTCATTTTATGTTAGGGGGGAAGGATCTTTCAAGACCATTAAAGTTCACACCGAAGAAAAAAATGGAAAAATGTTTACATTCTTTATCTTCACTATAATTAATGAATATCCTTCAGAATTATTGAATTAAGTTAAAATCTTTGAGATTTGCTCTCTGATTGTATGAAGTCCATCAAGGCAAAAATGGGAACATGTTATATTTATAATCAAGTCATTCTATAGGATATAACTAGACTCAAAAGTGTTGCCGGTGCTTACATTGTGCTGTTCCAATGTCCAAGTCTCTCTGGAGTTTGATGGATTCTGGCACGGTGAGATTAAGCATTTCCTCCAAACTCTGGAAACAAAAAATAAGAAATAAAATTTTATTATTATAGACCTAGCAGTTGGCAGAAACTATTCATAGATAAAATCAAACTTCTTTCAGTTCCTATAGCAAACAAATGTATATACACATAGCTCCTGCATACATGTAAACAATTATCTTTGAAACAGATGGGGAAAATGTATGTAACTTTGGATATTTGGCTTATTAAATTGTCAATTTTGTAAATACATAGGAGCTTTGCAATTTAATGTTTAATGACATCTTCAGAGTTTACAATGCACAATTGTTGTTCTTTATTTTTAGGCTTGTGTGGAAGCAAGCAGTTGACTTTGCTGTGATCTTCAACCTTTCCCCTCCAATTTAAGGTTTAATGACATCTTTAGAGTTCACAATGCACAATTTGACTTGGTTATTGTTCTTTACTTTCTAGGCTTGTGTGAAAGCAAGCAGTTGACTTTGCTGTGATCTTCACCCTTTTCCCTCCAAAACTTTCATACAAGAACCAACTGTAAGGACAGTGTGACATTGACAGTAAGCAAAAAAGGTCATCGGAACGTCCGCTTTAACCTTTGTTGTTAATATCCGCGCCTGGCCGGTTTTGGGCAACTACCTTTGTTTTGAATTTCCCTCCAACTCTCTGGTTCGACGAACTTTTAAGTCCCCGCCCCATCCACACACACATACCCATAACAAACACAGAATACGCTGCACGATATACACACCAAAATCAACCCATTCATGGAGAACAATGGGGCGTTGCAGTTGCAACTCTTAACGCATTCGACCAATCAGCGCTGGGGAAGGCATATTCACAGGAACCAAGGATCCGGTTCTAGCCAATCAGCAAGCAATAGAAAACATAACAAGCAGCTGATAATGAAAACACCAACCTGCGCTAGTCAATGGGCGAATGCTAGGACCGCCGTAAACCGTGGGAAGTTTAATGACCAGACAAAACAAGTTCGTATGTTTTTATCTAGTATGAGCAAGGGAAGTCCAATTGTCAAGTTTTAAACTAACGATTTTTTGTTTCTCTTCTCTGCATTAATTATCAACGCTACCGTTTAATAATCGCAAACAAAAAATTGTCAACAGTAAATCAAGATCATTCACTTTCCACTAGTAACAAGTTAGGCCAGCGTTTTGTCTGCAGAAAATGGGCTCAGAGTCAGAGTGAAGACTTTCAAGTGCAGCTAAATAAAAAAGAGTTTCTCCTGCTTAAAATTTGGCGCAATAAACGAATGTCAACAGAGCAAATCTCAACCGCTGCAGTGCAGTGCAGTCTATACAAATTACAATACAATAACATTTGCTACCTGTAAATTTTTTAGATAAGAGATGGAGTGAATAAGCATGTCGAGTTTATGAAAGAACACAAAACACATAAACAAAGATGAAAAACGTAAACGGTGATAGAGGTAGAATCGACTTACATCCGCCCCGATAACACTGAGCATCTCTTCGGCATCACCCTTGCGTGGTCCAAGATGACGCTGGGCGAAGGCATCGTGCTTCTGATAAATCTTGTCGAACATTCGATCATTCTTGAGAAGTTGTTTCATGGTCTCCGCTATCTGATGACGGTGTCGGCGGTGTTCGACCACGACCGCGGCCGAGGCTGTAGGGGCAGCCACCTGCGGCGGGAGGGCTGGGCCCATGATCAATTTCTGGCTACTCCTCCTGGCAACGGAGTAGGGTAGTCGTGCAAGTCGCATCATTTTGATTGTCAAAAGCTAGCTCTCCAAAACACGATTAAAATGAAGACAAATATAATCCTTCGAATGAACAAAGAAATAAGCCACACGGCAAATTTGATGTTAAATGTTTATGACTGTTCGTTGTTAATTTAGTCAAGAAAAGTTTAGGCTGTTAAAGCCGTTAACCTATGTTATCTCTCGATGTAGTACCCCAACATGTTCTTGCTAGCTTCTGAATTAACCGATCTGCGAGATTCACTCATCTTTTATACCCCAAGATCCAGATATCACAACACTGGGGTTCGTAGCATAGCAGCGCGCGTTGATGATGCAGATTCGAGATCGAGCGTAGTGCTTCCTGCATACAGGATCTGCTTAGAACCGGTTTGAGGCGAGTGGAGAAAGGTTTGTTGTGCACATGGCGTGACTCATTAGCATATTCATGTAATTGTGCGTACTACACAGTCAGCTGATCCGAATTGCGGGGGCTCGTCTTGGGATGCAGCCAATCGAACAACAGTATTTGTGTACACACCTTCGAGATATTCATGAGCTTGCTGTCATGTGACGTGATGCATTTGTGTTTTGTTGACATTCAACGAACTTTCGCGCTCTCAGTGGCAGGCAGGAAAGCTAGCTCATCATGCACGGACTATTATACCGGCTGACCAACTGCACCTACCAGACAACAAAACTAGACTGTCCTTTCGTTCATTTACAACACAAAGTTACTTAAATGAACATTTGTAATATGATTTCTACGTTCGATTTTTAAAAGCCAAGACAATGTAGTGGAGTGTACGTGTAGAGCTTTTAATAATTTCAATGGCATTTCAGATCAATAATCGCGGGCCCAACATGGCCTGGTGTGTATCACGAGTAGATGTTTCAATTCAAACTGTTGTCATTGTAGAACCTTGACCAATTGATTCATTTGTAGAGACCATTAAGCAGTAGCCTTCTTCAAAAATGGGTCAACCGATAAGACAACTATTGCCTTGACCCTGAGCTCATAATCACTCCTTGCCTTCAGATGCTGCCAATGTATTAGGACTACCTTCCGTTTCTTTGTTGCGTCATCAAGTCCACTTTTACGCCAATTTTCGGGTCTTACAAAATGTGCATGAAAAAGAGCTACTCTTTTTGTGCCTGTAACGATGTTGTTGTTTTTTTAAACAAATGTAGTAATACACAATCTGTGCTTAAATTAAATTTTTAAAAAATAATTGTGTGGCTATCTAATGACTCCCCACCCCTTTTCACCCATTGTGTGCCTGTTAATTAAGATGGGGCGAGTACGTAAATCTCGATCGATTTTAATCAACATTTTAGATTATTTTTTTTTTGTAGGAGAAATCAAAGAAACCTCTTGAATATAATTTGCCATTGGGGACTCGAAAGCCTTGACAAAGGGTTGCCTTACATAGCAACACCTAGGGCCATTTTAACTTGGATTACAATGTTAATTATGACGTACTAAAGGTGGATTTATATTGTTATTTATTCTTCTGAGAAACATCCATAAAATAAAATAAAATCAAAATTGAAATACATAAAAGTGGTATTTTGTAGACGGCATGAAGTATATATAATCACTACAACCTGCTATTTCACGTTTGTAATAACATCTCTCTCTCTCCCTTGTCCACAAAACATACACTTTTTAAGCTACTCAATGCTTGCCCTATATAGAATTACCAGTATGCTAGCAAAAAAAAGTATAAATTTTAACAAGTTTGGCATCTTGAAAAGTGTATTGTCTGTTGAATTGGAACTGCTTGGGGGCTTCTTTCCTATACGACTAATATATTCCTGACAGCATAGACTATATTCCTGTCAAAAAAGAGAGAATTAACCAAGATCATAACAATGCATCTAAAATGCATAATCTCAACCGACCGTCAGGCATGAATAGGTCCACTTCATAATACGGCCGAGCAGTGCCCGGCTTATACGGTTTATATCGCATTTCATATCTTTATGGATATACATAAGGGTCGATATATTATGGTTCCCCCCAAAAAGGACCTATACACTATTTCATATCCGTTGAATATGGTAGTGAACAAAATATTTCTGTATATGCAAAGAGAGAGAGAGAGAGAGAGAGAGAGAGAGAGAACAAAAGAAAAGGAGCTGACATCACGATCGCCTTGCTCTCGCCATGGACTCGGGAACTGGTTAAAACTGGTTCTCGGCAACTTGCTCGTAGTCTAGCTGTGCTCCGGCCCAAGCGCTGTTGTTGCTCGTGTTGATAAATTGCACTTCTTTATAGCAGGAGAAGCTAAGAAAAATCGTTGAAGATTTGCAATTCGATTTTAAATAAAATTCAGGTGTAAAAGTCAGACAATGGATACATGACTGCCAGGGGGCTCAAAATCAAACCCACCAGTTCACATGTTAAATCGCCCGTTTGACAGGTAGGACGCTGATCAATGTTTAATGTTAGTATTATATTGAGAGAAAAATAGAGAAATCGAGTAAAACTGGGGCCCTGCATGAGAAAGGATGACAATGACTGAGGAAAGTAGGATACTGAATGGGAAAAGCCAAGGGAGATGGAGAAAGATGAGTTTAAAATTGTGTACAAAAAATGGGGGGGGGGGGGCGGCGCGTCTCGTATCTACTTAGTCACGATTACATTATGTTAGAGGTATGGGCATATACGTTTATTTCATGAGCAGATCTTGTTGTCAGCCTTGAATTTCTTTCAAGAGTATACCGTCAACCTACAATGATTTATGCCCCTCGATATGGTGTTCCAAATGGCCTGTCTATATATTGTATTTATTTCCATGTATGAGGCGATGCTAGGTCGGGCAAGCATTACACAAGGTTTTAACCTGTCACGGACACCTCTATGGTGAAAATACACGGTGTCTGCAAGAGATTTTTTCAAAAATTACGGTTTATTCCTCTAAATAGTAATGCAATAACAAATGCCTAAATAATATCACTGGGTATGAAATTTACGACTAACCCCAAATTCTCGGTAAGCCATGCGACTCGCCAACCTTTGTTTACGTCTGATCACATGACCGCCCAACACAATAATGCGACGTCGTGCACGACATACGAAGACGTGTATATCACAGCGGTCAGGATAATATTGATTTGGTATATATTGGTACGTCTGTATGTAATTGTAATGCCTGTTGAACGGGGCCAGTCTTGACTAGCTTTTGTTATATTTTATTGGCTAAGCCAACTTGGCTCTATTACACAACGTAATCTTGGTAGTTTTTAGTTAGTGGTTTGGTTATAAATATTCCGTATGAAAAACATATATAAACATACAAATTAATGATAATTATTTAAAAAGAGCACGGTTGGATTGATCTATTCAGACCCATTAATTTAATTGCTCTGTTTTTCTTTGGAGTCGAGATAATGAATGAATTCCAAATATTCTTATGGCCTCCGAACTACCCCCCCCCCCCCCCAATCCCTCCATACACATACTCACTTACACACACGCGGATAGGTCACTATTGTTATGGTGACAACAAGGGGGAAATGTTTCGCTGTGTAACCCTCACCACCCCTCCCCCCCCCCCTCCCTCTCTCTCTCTCTCTCTCTCTCTCTCTCTTTCTCTCCCTCCCTCCCCTGCTCCCATCTCCATACCCCTCTCCATCACGCCTCTCCCATCCGTCAAGTTCCATCTAATCTCTTTCAGTTCTTCTTTCTATGAACTTCCAAAGAGCCCAAATATTCTTGCCATTTATTTTAGTTATTCAAAAAATACTCATAAAGTTCTGCGCCTGGTGATTCTTTGAATTCAGCAGCGATTTTGTAAAATTATAATTTAGGAAATTACATGCACATAAAATTCATGCATCGATAATATTCTAATCGTATTTGATTACTTGTCTGATTAATAATGTTTATGTAAATAAGTATTACTTGATTTAGGAACTTCCCTTATATTTAATTCATCCGTGTAATTATTAACATGGTTCTTTTCTCGGATTGCATAGTACCAATTAAAGAGATACCAGCTAATATCCTCCTTGATAGTACATCCCTCCTATACAAGGTGAACAACAGCATCAATGCACTTTGTAATATATCCTGGTATCATTGTTGCCATTAATTTCCTGGCTTGTGGAAGCCTTTGGTTTCTATTTCATTTCGCCTTCAGTTAGTGCACCTGGCTGAGAGCATAATGTTCAGTTTCATTCAATGTATAAGGTTAGTGACGTAACTCCGTAGGAGGGGGGTTACGTGGCATTCCCCTTATCGAAAAGCGAAAAAGAAAGGGAGAAACGGGACACAGGAAAGGCCAAAGTAAGACAATGATCTGCACCCTCCCACCCCTCCTTCCTGACCCGATTGACTTTTCTCTCGTACAGTGCCCCCCCCCCCCTTCTTTACAAACTATAGCTTGGTCATAATCGTTGCTGCGTCTGTCATCTATATCTCTGTTGGTGAAGGCCGGAGTCGTTTTGCATTCAAGGAAAAGAATCTTTATTGTGTTTCCAATTGTTTTATCGCTTCATATTTCATTTCCCTTTTCACATTTTGATATTTAGCGTTGCATTTATAGTTATTACGGTTAAAATCTATAGTTTCTTGATACGCCATGGCCTGCTATAAGAATAGATCTTCATCATTAATCAAGAAAAAAAATCCCTTCATGCAGTGTTAGCTCGCAATGATGTTGTGATGCTATCATAATTATGGTTATGTCTCTTTCCCTCGCCGTTTCGTTTCCGAAAGCATTATTCATACTGCATTATGCATTTTATATATTACTTGTCGTTTAAATTTAGACTGCTTAATATTTTTTTAATGTGAGTGTCTATTTATGTCGAAACTACAACCGCTTCAAAAAGCGGATCAATGCAGGATATAGGATATTCTTCAGGTGGGGGCCGCGGGAAGGGGGGGGGGGGGGAGGGGTGCTGGGTGCACGAGGCACAGGTCCGATACAATATCACGCAGAAATGTTGTACTACTAAAGGAGGCGTGATGCCCACCCCTGTGTGATGGCGATTACTAAGCTTACATGAATATTAGGCCCTTTGGATTGGATGGAGTTTTGAAACCCCTCTTCCATGATATTTACATGCAATGGCCACGATAAAAACTATCGATGCTAAACTAGGCTTATCAAATTATTTAAAAAAAACACATTTAGGAATATAATAATAATAATGGTTACTTGTATAGCGCACAAGTCCACTTTTCGGTGCTCATGGCGCTTAGCGAAAAGTACATGTAACAGACATAAGAAAGAAAAAACAATAAACCAAAAACAAAATTCGAAATTCTCC